GCTTGCTGGCAGAGACCTTGAAACGCCATAGAGTTGTGGCAGTAAATATGGCTACAGCCAGTACTCAGCCATGACCCTGGAAAGCTAAGGAATGGGCTGGATCCAGCCGTCAAATCCACGCCTTTAGTCCTACTGAGATTGCTTGGTAAATTAAAGATTCATGTGGTCAGAAAAACAGAGAAAGATACAGTAAAGAGAGCGTCAAAGACAAAGAAAATTTTTAAATGATTTTCAGCATGTTAAAAATATATGCAGACTAAAAGTTAAAATTCTTAAAGTAAAAAACAAAAAAAAAAGGAAGAGAGTTGTTGTGTGTGGTAGTACATACCTTTAATCCCAACACTTGGAAGGCAGAGGGAGATTGACCTCTGTGACTTCAAGGTGTATTAGCACACGCCTTTAATCCCAGTGCCTAAAAGGCAGAGACAAACAGATCTCTGTGAGTTCAAGTTGTAGTAGCAAACACCTTTAATCCCAATGCCTGGGAGGCAGAGACAGGCTGATCTCTGAGAGTTCAAAGACAGCCTGGTCTACAGAGTTATTCCAGGTCAAAGATATACGCTCAAAAAGCAAAAAGTTAACCTAGGAATGTCACAGCTTAGATTCTTAAGCAACTAGTGATTTAAAGGCGCAAATCAAAAGTGCTCCTGGATAGTAAAAAATTGCAGATTCACAATAGAACAGATTCAGACCACTAAATGAGTCACACTGTTGGATGAATGTACATAGGCTTGGGAGAGAGAAGAAAAAGAATATAGAGAATAAAGTTAATGGTTTAAAAAAAAAAGGTAAAGTCTATAAAGAGACAGAGTACAGATAGTTAAGAGATTAAAAGAAATAAAGAAAAATAAGCCACGTAAAAATGGAAAATTCACAGACAGTCTGTATTATGTACATTGTGTTTTCTTTAAAATTTTTGACTCTGAAGGAGCTAAGTACAGAGAGACATTTCATTATATGGGCTGCCAAGTGGAACCAGAAAAGATATCATGAGGGTATGATTTCAGAATTTGGGTCTAAGGATATGATGCTTTGGAGAGGGTCTTCTTTTGTTTTCACAGAGGACCAGACCCTGTGGATTGCATCTTTCCCGATATGGTATGATAGACCACGACCTCCGGAAAGGTTCCTGTGAACACCCTCAAAAAATTACTTCACTCAACTGCCAACTGAGATAAACCTGGCACACAGGTTACACCCTAAATGATCTGATTAACAGCACCCCCATTCAGCAGGAAGCAGTTTGGAGAGAAAAAACTGCGCCCATGTTCCCAAATATAGTTTATAAACGTTCTTTTACATTTAAATGGGGATATGATATAGATATGAATAATTTGCATTAGTATAGATTTTGCTTTATTGATAGAGATTTAAGGTCAATTTTGTTATATGTATAAGTGTTTCTGATTTTGATTAAGGTATTGTGATTGTGTAATCCATTTAAATATGTACTGTATAATTAAGAAATATAGGTTGTTAATGGATAATCATCGATAATAGTAAAGCTTGTAGTCATGTTAGTTAGATTTTCTAGATATATAGAGATATATTTTAGATAGACATTCTTCATGTCTTTCAAAGATTATAGAATAGGACATTTAATGTTTTAATAACTGAGGACTTTTCATGACAATGAGACACTCTGCTCCTGGCAGCACCAATCTACTTCAAGAGGAAGATGGGCATCGAAGAGGCTCGTTATGGAGTTTGATAGCCATTTGGGCAAGAAACTGCTCTTGCCTGGACTATTGCATAAACTGGAAACAGAGAACCCACAGAGAGAGGACTACTGAACTTGCCTAAGGTGAGATGATCTTTTGGGATTCCTGATTCATGAAAATGTCTGCGAGACATTCTACAGGACACAACAGATAGTGACTGAACTGACTTTGAATTTTCCTGCTTTATGGAAATGTCTGCTGAATACCATGGGCCTGAAGGCTGAAGATGGATGCCCCAACGGTACAGAGGAACTTTGGGTGACTGTCCAGGCAGCAAGATGTCTCTGTCATTTCTAGAGTTTTAAAAGTTGCTTTTTTCTTGTTTGCTTAGGTAGTACTGTATCTTTCTGGAGTCTTTGATGGAGTTAAGAATAGTTAGTTATAGTTATAGTTTTCCTTAGCTATGATAAAGATTATTGTAACTTTTACTTGATAACTGTTTTGTTATATGTAATTTTGCTATGTGAAAGTTAAAGCCTTTTTTTTGTTTGTTTAAACCGAAAAAGGGGAAATGATGGAGGAAGGTCATTGGTTAAATAAAAAGAAACTGCTTGGTCCTCATTGGTTAGAAGATAGGTGGGAGGAGTAAACAGAACAGAACGCTGGGAGGAAGAGGAAGTGAGCTCAGACTCCACAGCTCACCTCTCCGGAGCAGACGCCTCAGAGAGACGCCATGCCCCAGCTCCGACCCAGGATGGACTTAGGCTAGAATCTTCCCGGTAAGACCGGTGCTCACAGATTATTAGAGATGGGTTGATCGAGATATCAGAATTAGCCAGTAAGGGAAAGAGCTAAAGGGCCAAGAAGTGATTAAAAGAATACAGTGTCCGTGTAATTATTTCGGGGCATAAGCTAGCCGAGCAGGCGGCCAGGGAGCTGGGAACGCAGCCCCGCAGCCCTTATTACTACAGTAACCCAGACCCAAAATAATGAATATGGGATGTACTCACTCATAATTGGTTTCCAGCCATAAATAAGGGTCATGGAGTCTACAATTGTTGATCCTAAAGAAGCTAAGTAAGAAGGTGAACCAAAGGAAAAACATATAGTTACCCTCTTGGCTATGGGAAGTACACAAAATTGCCGGGGAGAAAATTGGGATCTTGGGGGTGGGGTGGGATGGGGGTAAGGGGAGATGGGGAGAGGAAAGGGAGAAGGGGAGGATGGTGGGAACTTGGGGAAAAAGGAGGAGTGGGATAAAAGAAGGTTGGATAGGGGAGCACGGAAGCACAATTCTTAGTTAAGGGAGCCACCTTAGGGTTGGCAAGAGACTTGAACCTAGAGTGGCTCCCAGGAGCCCAAGCCAAGGTCCCCAGTTAGTTCCTTGGGCAGCTGAGGATAGGGAACCTGAAATGACTCTATCCTATAGCAATACTGACGAATATCTTGCACATCATCAGAGAACCTTCATCTGGTGATGGATGGAGATAGAGACAGAGACCCACACTGGAACACTGGACTGAGCTCCCAAGGTCCCAATGAGGAGCAGAAGGAGAGAGAACATGAACAAAGAAGTCGGGACCACGAGGGGTGCACCCACCCACTGAGACAGTGGAGCTGATCTACTGGGAGCTCACCAAGGCCAGCTGGACTGTGACTGAAAAAGCATGGGTAAAAACTGGACTCTCTGAACATGGCGAACAATGAGGGCTGATGAGAAGCCAAGGACAATGGCACAGGGTTTTGATCCTATGCAATGTGCTGGCTTTGTGGGAGCCTAGCAAGTTTGGATGTTTACCTTCCTAGATATGGACAGACGGGGGAAGACCTAGGATTTACCACAGGGCAGGGAACCCTGACTGCTCTTTGGACTGGAGAGGGAGGGGGAGAGGAGTGGGAGGAAAGGGAGAAGGGTGGGAGGGAGGGGAGAAGGGTGGGAGGAGGGGGAGGGAAATGGGAGGCTGGGAGGAGGTGGAACCTTGTTTTTTTTCTTCCTTTTCTAAATTAAAAAGAAAAAGAAAAAAAAAAGAAAAGAAAACTACAACCAAGCTGTGATTTGTTTCCAACCAGCCTATTTTCCTAACGGGACACTTTCTCTCTCTCTCTCTCTCTCTCTCTCTCTCTCTCTCTCATGAAAATCTGTTTTCCCATCTACCAAGTCTATGATCACACCATAATTTTTTTTTCTGAACTGTTAACTATACTTGTGTCCCTAGTCTATCTGTCCAACAGGTTTTAAATCAACCACAGATACTTCCAGCAAATCCAATATCAACTTTATCTGTTTTCTCAAAGTCTGTATCCTGGTCCAGCATTATAGAATACACATCCCTACTCTCAGATGGTCCTACAGAGTATGAAAAATGAGAGAAATAACCTGCATTTACTGGACTTGGCAAATATTGCAACTTTTTGGGTTCCCAACTACAATTCCCTAATTTCAACATGAAGTAGGTTGATGATAAATTGTACTTTGTCATTAATTTATTATCAACAAAAAGTCTACAACAAAAAGTTAAAAATTCAATTTCTTTAACCTAGTACATATGGATTAACCTATTTAACAAGTGCTATAAAAGAAATTAATGTTCTCAGTAGGCCTAAATGACTTAATGATGCTTTATTTGGGTATTATTATTATACACATTACTACAATAAGAATTGTGGTATATACAACTGCCTTAGTACAACAGGTTCATACTACAGAGAATGTTAACTGACTTGCCAAATTTGTTGTCTGAAAGTTCCTATAAATCTAGGAGATGGGGACTTCAGGATCATATCAATGCTTTGGAAGAAGCTTCTCTTTTACAGGAAATCTGTTAAATGTCAATCTTAGACTTAGTGTTCAGTGTCATTCAACCTTTAAATGAATTTCTGTGACTGCTCTTCCTTATAATGACACAAAATATGTTTGGGGTCAAGTTGAGGTACATTTATAAGGTAGTTGGAATAATTCTGCTTTATCTATGGATATAGATTCTTCCCTTCACCAGAAAAATCTCTGACAAGCTCACTCTGTGCACAAATTATGGCTGTTTCTGCTTCCTTCATTGTCTAAGGTGATACTGAGTAGGGGTTTCAAGATTGCATAGTGAGCTGTGCCTCAGTTGATTTTCAGATCTCCATGGAACCAAGTCTTTTCTTTGGTGTTGTTGGATATAACTGTAGCAGTGAATACTGAAGATGAAGTGAGTTTATAGACAGCACAATTGAGTGATGATATTCACAAGTACTCAACCATTCAAAAATTAAAACCCACGATAGAACAAACGTGACCACTAGGTTGATATCTAATGACCTGTGAGAGGTGATGATGAATCAGAATAGTTCTATGTTCTATAAAGATTTCAGACAGTGGGGCAGGTTTCTGAGATGGACAAAGAAATAAAACAGGACCAGAGAATAATGTATGATCTCAGAACCTACCTCAATTAACATGTACATACATTGACTTGATTAATGATTTTGTGAAAAGTAATTTAATCATACTCTTTAACAACTTACAGGAATTATATGATATGCAGTGCATTTTGACACATATCTAGCATTCTAAGAGACTAGAACTTCTGCAAGACCACAAGACTAGAGTTAACTCTAAATCAAAAATCATGTAACATTTGAGACTCTGAAGGACTTTTGTTTCTCCAGCAGTTATTAATTGAACTTTATTGTTCAAATTCATATTTCAGTTTATTAAAAAATACCTCAAAAATGTCCTTTTCTCTTAGAATCCAGAGATGAATATTACCATATTTCATAATCACAGTTCTCACTTTTTATTGTTTAATTAATGAAGAAATATTTCAATAAATGTGGTCATTGGTGAAGAGCTTGTGAAGGTATGGTATTTAGTCATCCTAATTCAGCATCACTTTATTCACAGATATAATTCTGAAAATTTGTTACAAAAAAGTGAAAGACAAAGCAACATTCATAATGTTTGTTTCTGTGAATGTCTTAAGGCTCATCTTCTCTGTCATGTCAGTCCCAGGGCCGTTTCCTGTTTGTTCCTGTAGGGTTTCTGACACTCTCAGGATGTGGTTGCAACACTGTGTCTTGCACAGTAATAGACTGCAGAGTCTTCAGATGTCAGGCTGCTGAGCTCCATGTAGGCTGTGCTGGAGGATTTGTCTGCGGTCAGTTTGGCCTTGCCCTGGAATTTCTGATTGTATTTAGTGTCACCATCTCCAGGATAAATCCATCCAATCCACTCCAGGCCCTGTCCAGGCCTCTGCTTCACCCAGCTAACAAAGTTGCTAGTGAAGGTGAAGCCTGAAGTCTTGCAGGACAACTTCACTGAGGTCCCAGGTTTCCTCAGTTCAGGCCCTGACTGTTGCAGCTGTACCTGGGAGTGAACACCTGTGAAGAAAAAAACAGAATAGATTGTCATAGATATTGTCACCTCAGTGCTTGTCTTCTCCTCAGATTTGGAATTAGAAATCACTTACCTGTAGTTACTGACACAAGGACAAGAATGATACAGTTCCATTCCATGGTCTGGGCCTTAATACTCAGTGACTATGGAGAAAAGACTGATCGTATGTTGTTGTTGGGTATGGACATTCCTGTATTTACCATAATAGACTCAGGTAATTTGCATATTCAAGAACAGGGGACTTCTTAAATAAGCACCTAGTCCAGTTTGAGAAGGAGGTGGAAGAGACTTGAGTCAAGCAAGAGGATGATGAAATTCAAGTCCTAATCCTGTCTGAGGAAATGCATCTCATATCATTCCCTCAGCTCTGCAGATGTTGTGGGTGTGACAATAAGGTCCTAAGCTCTCAAGAGACTTCTAGCCTGAGGCAGTTTCTCCACTTTGTGACAAGGTTGTCATTTTGATTTAGAGAAGGAGGTTGTAATGATAATGGTGGTGACGGGAAGTTTAAAAACTTGCTAAATTTTAAGAAATTACAGCCTCATTTCACATGATTAATATTTGCCATAATAGAAGGTTTCATACAAAAACCCACTGAAATGACCTAAAAAAACATACCTCAGAAATATTTGCACATTGATGTTTAATGCAGCACTATATACCATAACTTAAGGAGATAAACTTCATGCCTGTCAGCAGAAGATTGCATTAAGAAGACATGGCTGTATGTGTGACACAACAGGACTAGATCATCTGAAGAATAAGGAACTTATATCACCTTTAGGAAATCAATGTAACTGGAGATAACTGGATTAAATAAAATTTTCTCTGGAAAACAGTTAATATATGAAACTCTAAGTAGTTTTTCAATATTGAATAAGTACACAGAACTATTTGTGCAAATATCTAACAACTTAAAAATGAAACTGTCTAGTAGAATATAGCAAAAACAAGAATATCTAGAAAATAAAGTGTAGGAGTTATGGGGGAAATATGCACAGTTGTAAAATGTACAGTTCTGAAAATTCTAAACATATAAAAATTGTTATTTTCATTTTTTCAAATAATTGTGCTTATTCTATAAAATTTTACTTTATATATAAATTATATTGTGATAATATCTATCCTCAACTATGTTCCTCTGAATTCTTTGGGACCTTCCAAAATGTCTCTGTTTTGTTTCATAATAGCAGAATAAGTCCAAACTGTGCTATTTACACATAGGTGTGTCATTCCATAGTAATGAAGTCATGAAGGAGCCTCTAAAGACTTTCCCAAAAGTGATTATATTTTTTTCATCTTTCATCCAATACCAATAGTGCCAAAGCTTGGAGTTGGCCAATGAAGAATTCCTGCCTATGATGTTGAAATATTTCTTCAAATTTTTAATTGCTTTCTCATAACGTACATCACAGTCAAAGCTTCTTCTAACTGTTTTCTCTCATCCATACTTCTGTCTCCCACAGATGCATCCTGTTCTGTCTCCACCCAGAAAATTGCAGACATTGCAGGAACACCCATAAAATATGGCATAGGAAGCTACAATAAGACAAGGCAAGTACTGTAGCATCAGCCTGGATGAATCAGCCCAATAGAAAGGAAAGTGTCCAAAAAGTAGGGCAAAGAATCAGACAAACTCCGTTTCCAGTGTTAGTAATCCCCAAAGCATGCCAAGCTATAGCCATAACAGGTATGCTAAGGACCTAAGGCAGCCCTACCAGATCCCTAGTTTCCACGAACCCCCATGAGTCCTCATTAGTCGATTATGTAGACCATTATCTCAGGATGTCTGTGGGGTCTCTGGTTTTTACAACCCTTTCTCCCACTCCTTGGTAGGACACCATGAATTCCACCTAATAGAACTATGAATCTCCTCCCATCAGTTGCTGGAAGCAGTCTCCTTGGTCTCAATGATGAAGATTCTTCTAGGTTTCAGTCCAGAATACTCTCCAGGGAGGACAAGCTAACCGTAGGTTTTGTGGCTTGTTTGGAGTCCTAACACCTCCACTTAGACCTTGCATGGGTACAGAAGGCATTATATTCAGAAAAATTGGTACAGTGGAAAATCTATGCAATCCATGAAGCTAATCCTATCAAAGATTTCAAGTAATATGGGACACAGAATCTGAACTGGCCATTTTTTATTATTTTTTTTAAAAAATGTTACATTGTGTTCAATGGTGAAAGCAAGGCACAAATAAACAAGATACCTATAAGAACCTTGGAAGACAGCTTACGAAATTCAGTTCTCATTTCTACCAAGTAGATACAAAGAAATTCAAACAATATTGCCAGGCTTACAAGTAGATATCTTTACTGACTCAGTTACTTCACAGACTCTCATGTTGACTTGCTTGATTTGTTGAGATCTTGTGTTGGTAACTATAGCTGCTGAGTGTTCATTTGTATACTACGTATGTCAGGTCCTGAAGATGGCATTTCATGACTAACACCTCATATTCTGGCACTTAAATTTGATCCCATCTTTTGTGAAGGTCCCTGAGTTTTGGGTACAAAGTGGATACAGATGAGTACTCAGCCTTCCATTCTTAGCACTTTGACCAGGTATGAATGTTTACATTAATTATTACATATTGCATACAAAAGTTCTTGTGATCATGGCTGAGAGCAGAACTAATCTATTGGCTGTTAAAATAAATATTTATAATGCAAATTGACAACATGACTTTTAGCAATGAAACTTGGGTAGGATTTACTAGGGCCTATGTCATTCCAAGTCATGAACTTTTGAACATGTTTACCAGGGATGAATATTTACAATGAATTACTCAAAGAATATAATTAGATTAAAGTTGATCATCACATAACTCTCAGGCACTAATGGGTATATCTTACTTGAAGGCTGTTATTGAAGACTACAAAATCTGGTAATTTATATGATCATAGATATCCTTTTTCCCAATGCAGACTGAATAACACGTTCCTGTGGGTTAGGAAAGGAAGGTGAAGGATGAATTTCCCATTCATTTTCTGGTTGTTTTCTCTATGACATACAGTGATACAGTCCTTATCTCACAGTGAAATGCAGTTCATAACAACTTTAATGTTCTATTTTACCCCAGTTAGAATGACTGTGAACAAGAAAATAAATGATAAAAAGTGCATACTTGGTTGTGGAGAAAGGGTGATCCTCATGCACTATTGATGACAGTGTACACTAGTTTCCTGACTTTGGAAATTTCATCAAAAATACTAAATGATACTATTTTGTGCTCTAGCTTTATCCTTCCAAGTATATACTCAAGAGACTCATCTTACTGTAAAGACACTAGCACATTAATATTTATTGCTACTCTATTCACAGCAGATGGGAAATGGAATCAACCTAGAATTCCATCAAAGGACAAGTAGATAATGAAGTCTGGGGCACATAAACAATGGGATATTACTCAGTAGTAAAACAAGAATCATGAACTGTATAATTAAGTGGTTGAAACTGGAATGAATATGCTGAATGAGGTCAACTATGTCCATGAAGACAAATGCTTCATGTTCTCTCATCTATGTGATTCCACGATTTGAATACTTGTAGAAGTCAAATGACTAGAAATGTCTCATTAGTGCCTGAGGTATTAATGGAGAAATATAATAAAACAGGGACAAAAGAAAACTGGAGGGGAACCCTGGAAAAAGAAAGTGTCAAGCACAAACTGAGATTTGAGAATTGAAAAATCAGGGATTGGTGTAAAGCAAACCAAAATTGGAGGTGATAAGAAAGCAATTATAAATATAGGATCTTACAGCAGAAGTAAAAAATAAAGATGTAGACAACATGGAGTGTGTGTTGCATGACAAAATGATATTAGATTGCTTACAGTAAAGTTAAGTGTACTATGGAATAAAGAGAAACAAAAATTTCCTCTGTTGTTTCAATAACAGAATATAGTGAAATAATAAACAGTAAATAATTGCCTTGTTCTATATTTGCAATTTTCTTTGGTTGACAATATTTTTGTGTTAAGATAATAACATGATGAAAGAGAATTTACATAGAAACTAATGAATTAATGAAAACGGTAAGCAAACCTTGGTATATCTAGATAAGACTTGTGGTTTAGCAGTTAGTGCTATTTCAGTGATCTGTTCTCATCTTGATCTATGGTTATCTAGGTTATTTCAGAAACCCAAGTAGAAAGTACTAGGATAAACTTTGAATTTTATTTTAACCTGTGAGCTTCAACAGAGGTACCTACCTGGGTGAACAATGCTGCTTTCCAAATACATGAGTTATTAATTTATCATCTCAATGCCAAATTAGAATAACTCCCTATGAGTTAATTGTCAGAGAGGCCCGACAGGTATAAAATCAGTATGAAGTATTGAAATTGTCCTTAGTTGACCCCAATAACTCAATAGTTAGACTGGAAACAGTTAGAAACTCAATAGATTGTAGGAGCCATTGCAGACAGAGTGTGCTATGGAAAATATCTTAGAGACATAACAGGACTGAAGCATACGTGAAACTACAGAGATTATGAAAGCATGCACAATGCCTACAAAGATTTGATCCAAATGGATTTCAACTTATGAGAGAGAGAGATAGACACAAACACAGAGAGATAATTGCAGAGAGACAAGCTCTCAACCCAAAGCAAGAAGTTTCAGCAATTATTGCTTGCAAAGGAAGAATTAGTTTTCTGTAATTGAGTCTTCTTGGGTATATTAACAACACTTAAGGGTGGGGTCCATACCCAGGAGTACATGGCCAACACAAAATGACCTCAATTGTATGTTTGGTAGACATTTTGTGTCCTATCAATTTATACTGCATTTCTTTTCATCTCATATGTTTTTGCTCAGTACTATGTTTCCAGGGTTTAATTTCTGATAATTTTTGGTTTCATTTAATGTACTTTAGATTCAGTTTCTCTTTCTCTCTCCCTTTCTCTCTATGTCTCTTTCAGGCTCTATCTCTATCTCTCTTTCTCTCTCTGTGTGTGTGTGTTTCTGTGATGTGTGTATTTTTGCTTGTTTTAATTATTTTTTAAAACATTTTTGTTTATGTGTTTGCTTTTTACAGAGAGAAAGAGCTGTATGGTAGGGAAGAAGGAAGGATCTAGAAAAAGTTAGAAGATGAATATTAGTAATTATAATATAT